ATAAGATCAGACATTTGGAAGTGCCACACACAAAAAAACAACCCAGGAAATTATTTACTTTTTTTCATATCTCTGGTTCTGTGTACATTAATTTATATTTACATAGAGTTTTATGTTTTTACAACATGTTTTTGAATTGTCATTTGTATCCTTTACACAGCCCTCTCAGATAACCAGGGAGAGTAATTTTATTACCAGCTTCAGATAAATAAACCTAGAATAAGTTATTGCCTAGGATCATGCAGTTAAGTTGCAAAATCAGGACTTGAATCCAGCCAGTCCCCTTAATCGATGCCCAGCTCACTTTGTACCAGGCCCCAGTCTGTTATTACCTGTGGTCTCTCATATATTCACTACGCCTCTGATCATTTCAGAGCCAACCAGCCACCATAATAAATATGTCAGTAGGACCCAACCACCTCCCTGCTGGTGCTGTAAGTTAGATGACGTGTGGATGTGTAATTCTGGTTGCTTTTATTGCTAGGGCTCTACTTATCAGGCACTTTGGTTTTTACCCATGAATTTCCTGAAAGGTCATTTTATGTTCCCTGGTAAATAATAAATTCTTTGCTAAAGAATTATAGATAATGGCTTTTTTTAATTGGCTGTTTTCTGATAGAAACTAGGCATTGGAAGTTTATTAAACCTGACTTTGAATTTTGCTTTCATTGTGCGTCCATACAAAATTCTATTGACATGTCAGTAGCAAAGATTTTTTCATCATGTTAGCACAACTGGTTTTCAGTTCCTTAGTTAGCTTTTTATTGAACAAATAACATAGAGATCCCAAGTATTTTTTTATATTCCAAGTACCCAAATTAAATGAACTAATCATGATGCCATTCAAGGTGGTATACCTCTGTTGTATAAAGCAAGGCATTGTGACAATACTAAAAGTACATTTAAAATTTTTTAAATATGTTTATTGATTTTAGAGAGAGAGGAAGAAGAAGACATTGATGTGAGAAACACCGATTTGGTTGCCTCCCATTCACGCCCCAATTGGGGAACTAACCCACAACCTCGGTATGTGCCCTGACTGGGGATCACATCTGCATCCTTTGGTGTACAGGACAATGCTCTAACCAACCGAGCCACACTGGCCAGGGCTCTAAAGTATATTTTAAAATATCACATTAAAAAATGATTTATAGGAAGAAATAATGTTTACCTTTTTGAAGTTTCTTCCCTTTGTTCTGTCTCTATTTAAATAAAAAGCCCTCAAAGTATCAGCTTGATTTTGACTATTTTATTTTCGCTGAGAAATGAACTTTTCAGCTGTGTTAGATTACCAGAAACGAGAATATCCAATAAAAATGGAGCCCTTCAGTAGTGGAAGTATAATTATCATGTGAGCATCATAAATCATTTGCTTCTCCATAGTATTTTAGGTCATGAAAGCAACAACTACAGCTTTTTTCTGCCTAGCTGATGTTTCAATAAAGTTGTTTCTGTTTTTATTCACAAATTTACAGTTTCTCCTTTGTGTTGACATTAACCAGTAAATCTATTAGTTCCCATTACCAGCAGAATAACTAACACGGTAGTTTTATATTTTCTCTCACAAATCCTTTCAAGCTGCATTATGCCTTTAATTTGATAGAATATTTGAGTGATAGATCTTGTTTCTCAATTCTATCTTTAGGCAAAATGTGTACTTTTTAAAACTTGCTCTTTCATTAAAAAAATAACAAAATAAAACAATGGCAGATTTGTTTTATCTATTGACTCCAGACACATAATAGATAAATTGGGCATCTAATTATAAAATGATATAAAGATAAAATGCAAAAGTCAAGTCACTCCATCAGACTTATAATGCTCATTAAAAAAATATCTGCAATGTTGTAGTATTGTTTCATCGACTGGCCAGTGCTGCCATAAAAACCCGATGTATCATAAACACCACAAATAAAATTTTTTCAATAACTAAGTGCTGTAAAATTGTTAGGCCTTTTCTTCCTAATGTAAATCAAGCTGCAAAACACCAGTTTAAAAACACATCCTCATAGCCACTAGTATAAACACATTTTTAGCAAGTTTTAAAGGTGGTCTCCAAGGATATAATTATCTTGGACAACTGTTGCTCTGATGTTGGAAACAACCAGCCCATCCCATTACAGTTCTCTAAGTGTAACAGACCGTGCAGTAATTGCTGTTGCCCTCCTGGGGTTCTCAGAGGCAAGCACCTCGATTCTGGCTTTGGTTGCTGTTCTGCAAGGCTTGGCTCAAGTGATCAGTTTCCTGTTTCTGCTTTGGTTCACATGCTGGGGTCCTGTGATGAACTCAGTTTTTCGAAGGAGTTAGAATCACTTGTTCGTGTTGTCAGTGGAATGAGTGTAATGGACAAGACTCTCTGAGTGAACCTAAAATCTAATCCAGATACTGTGGGGTTTCTTAGTGATGTGCCAAATCTAAGTATTCGGTAGCTGAATTGTTGGCGGATATTTTGGTTTTGTTAAACAATCAGTTAGAGGTCTGTTGTGAATCTGCCCTATATATGTCCAACTTTCTTTTGGGCCACTGTACGGAATTTTTCTGGATCAATAGGAACCCAGCCTTTACTTTTACAAAGCCTTTAATGGATTTAAAAAAATTTATTTTGCATTAAAAAACATCACTACAAAGCCAAATATCATATTTTATGAAATTAAAAGTAGTTTCTTAACATAATATAATGCTTTATTCCATGCTCAATCTTCCTGATTTTGATAAGTATGTTCTTCACACCAGGTTTGTTCAAGCTAGGATCCAGTGGAGTGCCATATATTGTTAATGATTGCTTTCATATTATGATTTATAATGAGAAATATAGAACTCCTAAAACCCTAGGAGCTTCCTAAGGGATAAGAGCAATAAACATGCCTTTTGCTATGTTAATGAGGTGACTTTTGGAAAGCCCCTAGGTGACCAAATTTGGGCAGCGGTTGCCAGAAGAACCCACCAGGTGATCAGAGGATTGAAACTTGCAGCCCCACCCCCTGACGTGTGTAGGGGTGTGGTGAGGGGTGAGGTTAACTCCATTGCCAATGGCCAGTGACCATCAATCTTCTGTAATGAAGCCTCCATAAAAACCCAAAGGACAGAGTTTGGAGAGCTTCAGGTTGATGAACATGGGGTGATGCGGGGAGAGTGGCGCCCTCAGAAGGTCGTGGAAACTCTGCTCCCCTCCCCACACACATTGCATTCTGTGCCTCTTTACCTGGCTCTTCATCTGTGTCTTTTTCATACCTTGTTGGGGAGGAATAATTTTTCCTCCATACAGAGGTTTTTTTTGTTTGTTTGTTTTTGGTTAGTCTACTAATCAAATCAATAGTAAGCAGGTTCACAGGAGAAAAATTTAATTTTGTGCATACCGGAACCCCACACATGTGGGAGGTTCGAAGACACAAAGGTAAAATGTGGTATAAGTCTAACAAGGTAATTTTGATTGCATAGGAATATGTTCTTAATTAAATACACATCAATAAATATTCTTAAATATTTAAGTTTAAGTAACAAAACATTTAAATAAGTTTAAATATTATTTACCAACAGGTTCAGCCTCTTAGATCAGTGACGTTTTGAAAAAGGCAGGCAGAACTGTAAAGAGCCCTAAGGTATATAACACCGATGTGTATTTTTTTCCCATGCCACCAAGCAATTCAGTCAATTCTGACACTGTCTATCTGGGGAGAGCATCAGATTCCCCAGGCTGTGGACTCAGTCCCACAAGACTTGCCCTAGTGAACCAAGGAATGGGATAGAGGCTTGGAGCTTCAGCGGGGAAGATGGTTATTCACAGGATGATAAGGAGAGCAGATGTTCAGTGATTAGATATTTGCCCTGCCATACAGATAGGTCATAAAAATTTATTACTGGTGATAGCTCTTATTATGGGCAAGGCTCGCAATTTAAATTTTTTCAGGGAGAGATAAAAGTTACCCTAAGACCGGTGGGTGTCGGTTGCTTTTAGTTCAAAATAATCCGCATGCACATCTTGGGGAGGCCTGTTCTGAACTCCTTCAAACCCTTTATAATAAACTGGTTGGTGTAAGCAAATGTTTCTATGAATTCTGTGAGCTGCTCTAACAAATTAAGAAGAGAGTGGTAGGAACCTCCAATTTAGAGTCAGTAGTGACAACCTGGACTTTCGATTGGCAAAACCACACTGCAATTCGTTGTTTTATTCTCTCAGTATCGTTTAATCTGGAACAATACCTTGTATTCATGTCAGGAACTTGTTGATTAGAATAATATCTTGTACAGTGGCACACCTTCTGGATTTGGTTCCTTTATCCCTCCAACACTGCTGTACAGTATAGTACCCACTAATCACTAATCACACATGGCTCTTGAGCTTTTGAAGTGTGGTTAGTCCAAATTGAGATATGTTGTGAGTATAACATACACAGTAGATTTCTAAGACTTAGTACCAAAAACAGGTACAGTATTTCACTAATAATTTTTTATATAGAATACATAATCAAATGATAACCTGAACATATATTTTCAATAGGTCAGTTACTGAAATTAATTTTCATTTTCATTTTCTTAATGTATCTAATACATATTTATTAGTCTTTCAGTATATTTCTACCAGATAGTGCTATTCAGCAGGGTTTAAAACACAATTGCTACCCCAGAGTGACTTCACATCAGTTCTCTCAATTATAGTATAAAGTGAACATCAGTAGACTAAGATGCTTTTAGCTCCAGTTTTATAACATATAGTTGCTCTATCCTTCTCTGTAGAAGCCAAAAGACTTCCCTTGGTGGATCTAGCCTAGAGACTCTTGGGAACTAACGTTCTCCAAGCATGGCATTGTCTAATAGATGAAGCAGCTGCTGCAGACTGAGTGCCCCTCATAGCTGAAAGTCTTAAATAATGTAAACCTAGAAGTGTGCCACAAATGCTAAATATAGTTGGTAAGCCAGTGCTGCTGAGTTAAAAGCAAAAAGTACGTGAGCCGATGAAACCTCATGCCTTATTTATTTATATGTCTGTTGTTTATTTTTAGTGTTGGAAAACCTTAATCAGATGAATGTCTCCAGTTTTGGAAGCCTGGGAAGTCAGCATGATTTTCGATCCCCGGAGTTTGTGAGTATTACTACTCTGTCTTGTATTTGTAATGGTTAGCCATAGATTTCTCCCAAAGCAGAGAAAAAAGGTAGCTTTTCTTTTTAATGGATTCTTGCCTTCAGTGTCTCTACATCTGGCACAGGTCTTCCTGGCAGTGACCGTGTGTTCAAAGCTCTGGTTCTTTGGGGAACAGGTTACTGTAGCACTAGAGTGCCTTGGCATCATGCTCTGGAGGCTTGTTCTTCATGCTGTTTGTAATCATCAATGGGAGCTCATTCTGCGGTAAAATAGCATCAAGTTTCCGAAGCTCCCCCACTGGTACCTTTGCTTTCAGTTTCCACTGTTATTAACTCCGGAAACCACTCTTTGCTGAGCACGTACAGGTCCATTAACCAGTCTGATTCCCACTGCATTCTGGAGCCTTCAGTGCTGCAACCTATATAGATGCATCTTGTAGGGCTAGGAATACTCTATTGGTTATCCCTGCCAACAGGGGAACTAAATACTTTCACTAAATTGAACTCATTAAAGGTTAGCCATGATTCCTAAACTTAAGGAATTAAAAATCTTATTAGATGCTACTGTGATTTTATTAATGCCTTGTTTAAAGAAAATTAAGCACATAGGATGCCTTATACAGAATGTCCTCACTAAATAGATTTTATATTAGATTCACTTGAAGAGAGGGATGGAAAGAAGTGTTTCTGACTCCTGTGCCATATTATCTCACCAGATATGTAGAAAAGCCAGGATCCACCTGCATTTACTGGTTTTTGCCCAACCCCCACCTCGCACTGCAAATTGCTTGTCTACCACTTTAGCAATGCAAAAATCTTTTTCTGATTTATTTTCAAAGTGTAATATACAGTCGCCACTCCAGCAATTGGCAGAGCATCATTGTATTATTGATAAAGACGGGAAAAAAAAGGAACCCATTATGTGTTTTTCCTCTCCTCACTCACTCTTTATGGATTGCCCACTCAGTGCAGCCAACAGGAAGGAAACTAGGCAAGTGCTCTGGATTGAAAAGAGTTCGCACATAAAACTGTATCCACAATGCCATTTCATTTCCAAGTGTGGACTCCTGTGGTGTACTAGCAGATTGCCTACTGTGAAAATCACTTGGCTGTAATAGAAAGACATGGTGTTCGATGACTTCCCTATTATATTCAATGAGCTTTTCAGTGAGGGAAAGTTGTGAATGCTCACCAATATTCCTGCATCTTAAAGTAGCAGAGCAGTTTTGTGCTTTTCTAATTTCTGCAGTTAGAGCCCCCAAAGCAGAATTGACGTAGATATTTCGTTATTGAGTATGATATTGGTACAGACTTGTGGAATGGTGGCTCTTTTTGGCTTTGTTATTTTCTAACTGCTTTTTTTTTTTTTCTGATAACCTATAAGCAATATATCTAATCTAAAAAGAGCTCTGTGCAATAAGGTGTTGTGCTTGGTAAAAACATGTAATTCATACCAATTTCCTGTGTGAAAATAGAAGGATTTTTCTCAAGAACAGATCTGCGTGTATCATGACACGTGAGCTTGGCATGCCTCAGTGTTGTCTGTGCCACAGTCTACGCTGGTAATCACACTGGTGACCTTCTTCTGCCTTCAGTGTTAACTTTTCAACTACTACATGTCCCTTTTCACGATGTGGGGACTGGCCAGTCCAAGCTAGAATGACCAGGGGTAGAACGCGAGGATCACAGAATATACTTGTTGAGACTTGTCTTAAAAATGAGTCTGAGAACCTCCAGGCTGAAAAGAGATTGTTAGACTCAATCTCCATAGTTGTATTTTCCATTCAAGACTATCAAGTCATTTCTTTAGACCACATTTGTGGAGTTGAAGTTGTTAATCACAGTTTCCTTATATGTGTGGTTGATATCGATGTCTATAGCCTGGCTATTATCTTTCTCTAATTGTGTGTTCACACCATTTTCAAGGAAGAATCTGTGATTTTTCTTGTGCTTTATAGATTTTCACACATCCGATGCTCACTGCATGCCACATCTCTGTGTGGCATGTATGAAACTGCTTATATTTTCTCCTTAGCATCACTGTAGCCTGTATACTCCCAGCTCCAAAGTCAACATCTGTTTCCCAAACGACTGCCTCCATGGTAAACAAACAGGAGGTAAACAAGGTGCCTTGAGAATAAGATACTCGGGGGAATTGGGTGTGATATTTAAAGTAGCCTTTTTGTAGGCAGAATGTTATACAGCGTCAGTGAAAACAGAGGGCACAGGTGGTGTGGGCAGACGGATCAGGCAAATGCAAGGACAAAAGGAGGTAAGTTGATCCAGCCCCAAATTTAAAATCAGAAACAGGTGATAATATGAACCTGGGAGCAAAGAGAACCCAATAGCAAAGCAGAATTTGAAAACAAGAAGAAAGAGAAGAGTAAAAGGAGCTGTGAAATCAGTATTCTGTCTCCATCTGGCAGCTTGCTGAGCAGAACTGAAATAAAGCAAGGCATAGACCATGTTTATTCAGGCCTTATCCTCAAATAGTTCAAATTTTAGAAGGATCAAGAGCCTAGTGTTTTTGTACAACAGAACATATTTATATAGTTTGGCCAACAGGGAGGACAAAAGTGCTTATCGTTACTCATTTGTTTCCTTCGGAATTTCTGTTTTGTCCTTTCCTTTGACACAAGGCCTAAGGGGGTGGTGCTGGCTGAGTAGCCCTGTTTACCGGCATGATAAGCACCTTCAAGGGTTCCTTCCCAGCTCAGATGTCTATAATGTGACTAGTCAGGCACAGCCTGTATTGCCAGATAGCCTATGTGAATGACAGGTAAACAAATGTTGCTGTGAAACCCCACCCCCCACCCCCCACCTTGTGGTGGCCTGAAGCCGGTAGCCGGCAGCCCACCCGGGGCTCAGCAGAGGCCCTTGGGTCGCCTCATTCGCTGCAGAGAGTATCCACCGATGATCTGTCCCCTGCATATCTGTGCTGCTCCTCTCCACCCCACACGCCCCGTTGCAGACGGGGCATGTGTCCCCAGTCCATGCTGAACTGGAAAAGGGTGAACAGAGAGGTGGACACAAGGTATGTGTGTTTTTGCTACCCTGAAGCTTGTGAGGAACTGGAAACATGTTGAAACTAGACATAGACTTGCTCTGAGATGAGACAGATGTGTAAACGAGGTGAAAGGGACCCACTAAATGTTGGCCTTATGGAGAGGAACTTGGTGATCTTGCTGTGCTGGGAAAGTGTCTCAGTCCGGTTCAGTTTTTGTTTAAGCACAGTGCAAATCGATTTTATAACCTGCTCTATTAATGTACCATTTTATTCTGAATGTTTCCCGTGCTGTTTTTTCCGTTTTATTGAGATATAATTGACATGTAGCACTGTGTCCATTTAAGGTAAACAGTACCATGCTTTTTTTTTTTAACATTATTATATCTCTAACATCCCCTCAAATGCTGTTCCCTTTTGTCAATAAACTATAATCGCATTATAATTTTCAAAACAGTCAGCTCACGGGGGACCTAATCAAGGACATGGTGGTATGGCCAGATGCTCTGGAACCAGGTGATGGGTGCCCGTCTCTTTGGGACGTGGATCCCAAAAGCAGACTGGGTGCATGATGACAGGCCTCAGACTTGATTGGCCAGAACCGGGCTGGGGGTCGAATACCCCCGATAAACTTGTGGAGTTCAGACTTTGAAGCAGAGGTGGCAGAACTGGGCAGTCTGTTTGGAGCTGGGGATGGAAGCCATCCACGTGGCTATGGAGCAGGTGAAGGTCATTCTGCAGGGTGGTAACATGGAGATGCGGGGTGTCCAAGCTCCCCCTAGTGCTCTCACTTTCAGGATTGGTTAAGAGCAAAGGTGTTCTAAGGGCTCAGTCCAGGGCCTCATCCGTCATGGCTGACCCAGGAGACCTCAGGTTTATTCCAAGCCTCAAGGAGTGGGGGCTGTTAGTAGGGGAAAGGCTGGTGTAACGCAGGAGCTCCAAGCTGGGGAGTTTCACTTTTGTTCATGATATTCCGAAAAAAACCACCCAGAGGACCGGCAGATGTGGGCATGCCGTTTCTTACCCGCTGTGCAGGGGGTACACGGACAGGCAGTGGATTGGGTGAGAAGCCCCGCCCCGCCTGTGCCCTTGGCACTCCTTACTGGGTTAGGGAGGGGGCGGCAGTGGGGAGGGAGCCACAGTAGTGTGTGAAAACGCTACAGGGCTGTCATAAACACAGGGGCCGCGAGAAGGCTGGGACTCCAGATACACACTGTTTTCCTCACTCCTTATGGCTGCTGCCAGGCAGCCACCTGCTCTCGGAGGTCATGGCAGGGCCATGTCTTGAGCTACCCTGCAGTTGGGTAGTGGTCAAGTGTTTTTCAATATCTCTGTTGATAGTGGCCCAGGACCTCATATAGGCCTGGTTGCCTGTGTGCACACGGAGTGAGGGATGAGGTCGGGGGAAGAACTCTGATCTAGCAGTGGTGAATCTGCTTGCAGCAAGCTGGACAGGAACCAGGCTGGGGTCAACAGAAAACACATGGAGGGAAAGAGAAGACTAAGAAATTATGTTTTATGATTTGCATCTTGCTAGTAATATCTCCATTTCTGGCCTTTTCAGACTTCATATTTATATATAACTCTCCTGGCTTTTTGGAGGCAGGAAGATTATCACCTCTCGTCTCATGCTCTTAGTGATGTTTTCCTTTGTTTAGCTTCTACCAAATTTGGAGTAAATAATAGAGTATGGGCTGGGAAAAGATTATTAGGATTACAATAGGATAAACCAGGGAAGATGATGAAAAACCAGGATTTAGAGAGCTAAAACTAGAAAATAGACTCAGGAAGATGACGATTACAGTGGAGTAAATATATGTCCCCTTCCATCAGCAGTCATGGTTCTGATGAGAAGGAGGAGGCCTGAAGAGTATCCTGTTTGGGATTTCATGTAACTGGCTCTTTTTCTGAGGAGGGAGATACTACTTTCTGGATTCCCTGAAATTCAAATTTGATATTGTTTAACTAGATGAAAATATATGTGATCCCCAGTAAAA